ACTAATTATTAGTTTTTATTATTAAAAACTTAAATTGAGATTTATCATTTTATTATATTACTATATTTGCTTTTCGGGCGCCTTTAAAATAAGGAAGATCCGACATAATACTCAAATTATAGAAATAAACTAAAGATGATCTAGGTCACCTTCTTCTGGTTGATTTTACGGATTCTTATATTTGTATTTATGGTTTAGGAATATTGCAATTTTCACTTGCTTTTTTTTTTTTGTAAATATACTCTTAAAGTAAAGTCAAAGACAACATATTAAAGGAAATTCAATTAAATGAGAAACAAATCATCTTTCTAAAACGAGGAAGTGAGTTAGGGATCTTTAATTATTTGGCATTATTCAATCAATTTTTTTTCCGATCTTTTTATATACAAGCAAGATTGAATGCATGCCATATATACAAAAGGGAAATCTGAAATCTTCGTATAAAATTCATGTGTTATGCAGTCATACTCATTAGAATTAACAAAAAATTTATACATTGAGTTGGAAAAAAATAATCCTGAAAATGTATTGAAATACATTATTGTTTTCAAATGATATGCTACAAATTGCATGCTTCCCTTTAGTTTGTAGAAGTAGATCCAGGATGTTAATTGATGTATGATACCAATATTAAAAGTTCATATACAATCACATTTGAGTACATAAAATAAAGGTGTAGATTTTCATGAGGTCTGCCTTGATTTGAATAGCATTTATTCTAGTAATAAAGAGTTCGTACCTGGTGTAAGTTCTGTCTTGCCTTTACTTCGTCTGGATTGGATATTTTAATATCAATGATTACAGCCTTTCTGATAATAAACATTGGAAAAAATTTACCCACTTCATTAATTGTTTATTATTACATATTTTAACAGAAAAATCATACGTATATTCTGTCTTGGAGATTAATACTTGCTATTTCAAGCATCGGACTAGCAGTCTGATATACGCATTAGAACGTCTACGTGTTTTTTTTTCACCTTTCATTCTATCTCTACGTCCTTTCCATCCGTAACTATTAGACATAAGATTCGAATTTTAGAGCTAGCAGCAAAATAGACATAGAGTCCTCCCTTACACCACTATATTCGCATTTTCTTTTTTCCCATTTCCTCCTTTGATTTTTGTTGGCATATGGAATCATCAAATTGTTTATCCTCTCCACTCAAAACTTATTTATGAGAGCCCATATCATGATGGCTTTTAAATAACAAGAATGTTAGGATATTGTTAGCAAAAATTATAACATAAAAAAGGCAGATTAATCTTTCCTACACACAGACAGGTATGAATTCATACCTGTCACATCATTTCAATTTAAATTTAAATGCCAAACTTTATATGTATGGTATATATGTAAACTTGCAAGTGTATACACTAACAGTGTATAAAAAGATTTATCAAAAAAATAAATAAAACCCTACTATTCTAAGATAGAGAATGGTCTCTTTATGTAATAATTTTTTTTTTCCTTTTTTGGCTCAATAAATGTCGTATGAATATGATGGATTCTATCCTCGAAATTTGTTATCTGGTTATTGGATGATTTGATTTAGATTGAGAATTGGATTTGTGGATGTAATAGGTTCAATTTTTAAATGTTAGGGACGAATTTGTTCCGTTTTAACAGTGAAGGATGAAAAGCATCATATTTCTTGCGAAATATAAAGGATGAAATATGTCATTTTCCCTTTTTTTTTTTTCCTTTAACGAATAGCTAATGAGGTCCTATAATGACTCTCAAAGAGACTAAAACAGGCAACATGAAAGAAATAAAATTTGGGTTCGAGATTTATTTGTTCATAACCGCAATTAAACTAACTGTTAAAGTGTGACTTCATTTTTTAAACCAAATAGCATTCCTAGGTGTCCGCTGTCGGCCCCTGCTCAGCCATACTTGTCGTCAACAAATATAATAAACGGGAAAAGGTCTTGTGGAGCCTAGTTTTCCAAACATCAGACTGTAGAATACACGGCCCTAAAGGAGTCCACATTCATTTCCTTGATCCATGTTTTTTTTTTTTTTTTGTATATATATATATATATATATATTTTTTTTTTCCCTAATTATCACATCAGCACCGATTTAAACTTTTAACCCCAAAGCTTCCTTAAGTCATGGTTCATTGTATTTGATGGATGGTCGAGCTGGATTCAAGATCTACCTTTATTAGTTCTTACATTTTTTAGTAAAAGGATTCATGCAATAAGCTGTAGAGTTTTATTTATGTTGCCCTAAGATAAGATGTTACATACTACTTTTTACAAACTGGCAGAATTTATGGAGCTGCTTGTTAGTGATAATATTGAGCATGTTCATTAACAGATTTATGGAGCTGCTTGTTAGTGAATTTGTTTGGACAAAAATAATTTGGTTTGCAAAATTTATTCTCACATATCCCAATTACCTTTTTATCTTTCCAATTACCTTTTTATCTCACATACATCACATCACAAAAAATATTACAGTAAATATCTCAAATAAATCATCCAAATAAACTCTTATCCAAACAAACTCAGTGTCTTCTTGATTAGTGTCTTTTTTGTGAATGAACTTCATCTCCTGGTCTTCATTTTCTGCTGAAAATTTTGAGTTTCAAGTGAATGATAACTATAGACAGACGTTTGTCTCTTAAGTTAAGTTGGTCGAGATAGTAGAGTTGGCGTCACGTCACACCTTCCTATCAACCCGAATTCAAACCTCTTTTGAAACATCTGTCTGTCACACAAAACTTGTCTAGTGCGTCTTATCCCTCCGTGTGATTGACGGGTTATTGCATTAGGCAGAGTTTATTCAGTGCGCGCTCTCAGATAGCGACTGCAGGTCTGCTTATAAAAAAAAAAAAAAGAAGATGAAGAAGAACTATAGACAGATGGACCTGCTTGGTTCTAGAGAGGTTACTGTCAGTCGGACACCAGAAAAACTAACTAACTGATATGTTGGAGTCAGAGAATGTTGGTCCAAAGTGGTTGGGTTTTTTCTCATGTTATGTCTCGGACAGTGGTGATTTCAGCAAGCTTCTTGTTGTCTATAATGTAAAAGTAGGGCAACTTTTCTTGGGTTTTTGGATCCAAGATAAAGGCTTTCCGCTTTACCATACTAAATAATCAATAGAAGTCCCTTGTGTTTCCTTCAATTAGTTATTGGAAGACCTTCAGAGAATAGAAGTTGTGTAATTGAAACCTTTCTTTGCCTAATTACGTTGACGGCCTAGTCTAATTGTTTGTTGAATTGCACATTAATCCTAATCTCCCTCCTTTGGTGTGTGTGTGTGTGTATATATATATATATATATATATCTCAATTATTCAATCAGATCACCTCCTCTTTCTCTCTAAGATGTTAGAGAGAAGACAATTAAGGATCATGCTCAATCAATTAATGGTCAAATTTGGATGGAGTATTCTCATTTTTCTTTAATTAGTTAGAAGGAGAGTCGTTGCTCAGAAAGTAATCCACTTTACTAGGAATATGTTTTAATTTATTGAACTCTTTTATTAGAGAATTTCTAAGAATACGGAATAGCACTTACTTAAACATAGAGCTTAGACCAGCTTTAGTCTTTTCCTTCTGTTTTCATTTCGTCCATGATCAGTCAAGAAAAAATGCAACTTTTTAAGTTTCTAGCTAAAATTTGTAATGCCAGAAAGTTTGAACATTTTATCAACGAATCTATTCCGGGACATGGCTTCTCTTCTACTTAATATGAGTTGCTGCTTCTTATTTATCCTGGTGTAGATCCTTTTTTTTTTTTAATGTTCTTATTTATTTTCTTTAAAAATAGTTGAAATTTTATTATGTAGTACAGGTAATGGAACAGATTTGAATATAAAAGGTTCTTCTTGAACTCCTCTCTCTGTCTCTCTCTCGCTTAATATTGTAAGAACCAAACGTATGTTAAGTGGTTAAAGTTGAAACTCCAAAAATTAAAAGTTTTGGATTTTGATCCCCTTGTCCCTTTCTTAGATGTAGCAATTCTCGACGCGATCCGAAAACACAATTCGAACATAACACAAAATTAGCGGGTATAGATTTACTCTTCACGAGGTCGGTTCAAAATCAGGTCAACCTGGATTGACCCGTCTGACTCGTTTAATATGTAATTTTATAATTTAATCAAAAAATTAGAGGTAAAAAGTAAATAAAAGAAAAACTAACTAAGACTTTAAATTAGGATTACGAGAACGGAATCATGAATATTATGTGAAAACAAGGTATTTTATTTGTGAAGGTGTCGTAAATTTGGTTTTGTTCATGATTTTTTCTTTGTACAAAAAGGAAAACCAAAAAAGTACTATGAGATTGGACTATAATTTTATATATTTTTATGAAAACTCCATTATAAAAAAAAATCCACCATACTATCGAAGTGAGAAGGTGTAAAAAAAAAAGAATAAAGTTAAGCAAACAGGTTATTCAACTCGGGTTCGGGTAACCCGCGAAATTTACAAGCAGTGTTCGGTTCAAAAAAGTTGAGTCATTTAAATTTCCAGTCGTGTTCGAATTGACGTGTTGTTTAAGATATCTGAGTCTCAATTCGACCCACCAATCCGTGACCCGACTTGATTGCCATCTCTACCCTTTCTCGCTTCTTAAATTCCACTCCTAGGAAAAATGATGGGCATCATTTGGAAGACTTCTTCTAGGCGTTACATTTCTTGCACCATAAGTCGATTAAAATTGTTTTTGCTGTAGGTTATACAGCCTCCAGCTAGATTTAAAAGGGAGAGTAGGTAACATTCTCCATGGAAACTATCCTTTGTGATAGGACAAGCCAAGTCGTAGTACTAGTTTGGGAGCTTGCCTTAGGCTTGTCTTTTTCAACCCCTTTTACTGGCGGCATATACACATTATCGTACAAAATTTCATCCAATAACTGTAGTCGAATCAATCTTGATCCTTGTTCGATTAAATTCACATTTGAATCGAACCAAATTATCGATTCAAGCTCAATTCATTCACCCCATCTAAATCCAAAAAAAAAAAAAACAAAAAATCATGAGTTAATAACTTTTATTACATAATGAAACTAATGAAATGTTTTATCAACAACCCAATTCAAAATCTTCTCCTGTTAACTGCTTTCTTCAAGAATGCTTCACGTCCTGGAAATACACTACTACTTTTAGTTTTAATAATATCCACCCTGCGATCTTCATCAACCTCCTCTTGATCTTGATCTCCATCTAATTTATTCTTACTTGAATTGCCAAAATTACCCTTATCATCAACTTTAATGCCATTTCTCTCCCCATTTTTCCTCCTCCTCAGCTTCAACCTCTCCCGCCTCTCCTTCCTCCTTCCTTTGACAGGCCCACTCCCCCCCGCCTTGGGCTTCACAATCTCCAACCCACCATCTCTCATAACCCTAGGCCCAGAGTCTGACGCCCTCGGTATCCTGCCCCCTTTCGACGTCCCGAGTAGCCTGAAATCAACCTTGGCCCAGCCCAGCTTATCCTCATTATCCCATCCAAACCTTTCGCTTATCTCAACCAAATCCGACACAGCACTCTTCTGCTGAAGCTGAACACTTTTCGAGCTCAAAACGTCGCCGTTCAGCACCTTCTGGGCAAACTCCCATTCTATCCTGTCTTTGTAAACTGGGTCTTCAAGAACTTCATCAGCAAGCTTAGCCCACTCTTCAAAGTCACGTGCCCTCAAGTTTTTGGAGACCCATTTGAGGTAATTTGAAGGAAGGGTCCCTACCATTTTGCCCTTGTACTTCCCAAAGTCAATGACTCTGTCACGTGCCGGGATTGCATTCCTGGGTTTTGGGATTTCCGGCTTTCTGTAGAGGAATGAAATGGTGGAGTTGAGCGGGTTTGGTGCGGACTGAAGAGACCAGAGATACATGTGTTGTGGGTTTAGCAGAAGAGGATGTGGATATGGTTTTTTCGGTTTGTTTTGCGTGTTGTTTTGTATAGCAACTGCCCGGGTCCAATTTATACCGGTGTATCGTGCACTCGTTTGGTCTGATAATGGTTTAATTCTCGTCGGTTCTCCAATATCTCGATCGAGCCCTTTAAAATAAGTTAGAGAAGGAGTAAAGCAAATGTTATCGATTAATTTTTAAAAAAATTTACCTGAGTACCTTAATAAAACTGATAGGTATTTCATGAAACGACAAGAACTCAGTACAATTGTATTTTGTGCAGTTCCATTCAATCATTATACATATTTAAATTGTTAGGCACAAATAAATTGTAATGTTGCATTGAGTATACATCGAATACTTATTCATGTACATCACTTGTATTTCGGATACAATAACCTAATGTAATTTGTATACCAAGTAATCTAAAAAGTACAACAATCACATCGAAACCTTATCAGACTCCAACTGCACTGCTTCAACTCTCTGTAGAGCCAAAAGTGCAACATATCGGACTCGGAGGATAATTTGGAACAATGGTAATTAAGCCAAACATTATAGTACTGTTTTCATGAATGAGCTCAAAATTCTGTTTGAGTTTAGCTCGAGTATTACCCAAGTGAAGTTTGAAGTGAATTTTCACCCAATCGAGCTCTAAATGTTTGGTTTATGCACATTTGAAATTTTAAGTTCATGGAGCCAAGTTCATATATAGTCATCCATTTTTGGTTCAATTCTTTGATGAACTTAAAAATTCTAACTCGAAGACTAGATTACAGCTCATTAAGCATATAGCCTAGACCATTGGGCAGCGCCTATAGAAAAAGATCAAAACAGATAAGGAACAGAGTCCAAAAAGAGTCCTGGAAAATCTCTTACAGAACGACAAGAAATTATTGCTATATAGAACGTTAACTAGGCCAAAACTAGGACTCTATTTTAATAGAGTACATGCACGGTCCTTCCAGTTTTTTATTGCCATGGCCCGTAGGGCAGAAGTTTTCCACAAGCCTGCCTCAGCTATATTCTTGCTGCTGAAAAAAGAGGATCGGAGGAACCATCCAACTACAAAGAATTAATGAATGAACACCATTTTAGCAGTAACATTACATTCCTCACAAAGTGAAAGTCAGTCAGCATGCACAATGAAAGACCGAGTTCTTGAAGCACTTGGCCTTGTGTGCTATCTTCTTGACGCCACTTTCACTGCGAGAGGAAAGTGTGCTATTATGGTAGGGTATGTTGATTCTATCCATAATGTTCATCACTGGAGCTTCAAGAGTAGTCTTAGTCGAAGACATTGCCCTCTGGATGCCCCAAATTGAAAGTGGCCTCATGTACAGGAGAGACCTGAAGTGCCCATCTATTGACCAACCCTCTGGAGTCTGAAATGCATATCTGCGTAAAGAAAAACAGGAGCAGAATGGTTGATGAGGAGATAGCCAAACAGGGATGAAAAATGTAAACAGAATAGACTCTAGATGTATTTCTTGAGAAAGAACAAGAATAATATGGCAGGCATGTGTGTACTACAGACAAATAGATCCCAGGGATAGTGCCGCTGTCACAGCGGCGTATATATGAGTACGACACAAGGGTGATTAAATCATGTTTTCATCCCAGATAAGGATCCTCGAAAACCCAGTACATATGCTTCGTAACTGCTACCGTCGTTTGCAAGATTATTGCTTCAAAGAGCTTCAAGGGGTGAGGCAGGAAAGATGATCTATCAACTTGCACATGAGAAAATAATGAACTGATTATGCAAATATAACTTACCCATGGCCCTCTTCTGACCAGCCTGCCAGGAATATGCCTTCAGCTGTCGTAAAACCCTGCTCCACCATTCCAGCAAGAATCATGTTGGCAGCCACTGAATAGGTGACTCCAGTCCATATTTCACGGGACTGCATGCAGGTCTCATCTATCTTTCCATTTGGATACATTCCATTTACTGCACCCATCCTACCTCCTCGATTTTTCATCACATTGAAATCATATACTTTTTGGAGGGCACTCTGGATCTTAACTTTATCAAAAAGATCAGGCAAGCCTGAAGATGCTGTATACCACTGTCCTGCCAATTGATCAGCTTGGATTGACTTGCTGTTACTGCTAGAACCACTATCATAATTAAAGTAGGAGCCGTTCCACAATTTTTCTTCAAAGACTGCCTTTGCTTTTACAAATTTGCTTTTGCATCGTTCAGCAAAGGCTCTGTCACCAAGCTGAACAGCCATTGCTGCTGCAGCTTGAAGTGCAGCAAGCCATAAACCACCACAGTAAGCACTTATTCCATGGACTGTCCAAGTATCATATGTTTGATCTGGGAATCCATCATTTTCAATGAGGCCATCATGGTCCCGATCAAACTGTTCCATATATTCCATTGCAGCGCGAACAGAAGGCCATACATCAGCTGCAAAGGAAAAATCTCCTGTGGCAGCAAAATCTCTATAAACCTGAAGCACAAACTTAGGATTCAGATCCTTCCACCTACTAGTATCATGTATATTGTAAGCATTCATTTCATGCCATGGATCATGAGTTCCAAGATCATGAGGAACAGCCCCTTTGACCTTCCGGATACCGCAATTTCCCTCTGCTAGAAACTTCACCTTCCTCTTATCTTCACATAATACCGCTTTTGCAAATTCACGCTGAATGCTGAGCTCAATCTTCGGAAACAGCTCAAGCAAGGCAAAAGATGCATAGAAGTGCACGTCATATGTGCACCACATGATATATTCTACACCTTCCAAGTACAGAAACCTACCAACATCATCGGTATCGTTCTCCAGCAATTTACTAGAGGAAGTTGTAAAACGGCTTTCAAATCTTCTTCGGAAAAGTGTTGATTCGTCTTTTTCATCAGAGTTGTTAGAAGCTCTTTCATTACTAACTTTCGAACTTTTCACACCATCATCTTGTGAATTAACATACATCATATCAACATAAGTATTGACGACAGTCTGGTTGTTTTCCATGTCTTGGTTATGATTTTCTTGTGTTTTACTCACTGTGACTTCTTTGATCTTTACTGGCACTGCCTCATTCTGAATTTCCCACGAGTCCTCAGTTGGCAAGCTAGAATCTGAGTGGGAAAACAACATAAAAGCAAAGCATTTCAGGTCGGGATGTAATATCTTCAATTCCAAGCAACAAAGGTAAAATAACTCCCATTCTCTTCTGCTTCCCATCATTAGAAGCCAAAATAACCTATTATGCTGCTTCTGATTTCAGCCAGTTTGCCATGCAAAGAGCTAGCAGGGCATAAGAGTATTTGACAATAGAAGAAAGGGTATGTCTAACAAGTGCCCACTGGGCACTTGATAAAGAGTAGTTCAGATGTTAAATTTTTGGAAAAGTAAATGTTAACAAGAGAAGTACAAATACAAGGGAGGGTAATAATTGTTGATGTGTGCATTAACATGGCAGGTATGGTGTGACTTATGTGTGCTAACGAGTGCCCAATGAGCACCTGTTAGAAAACCCCTAGAAGAAAATAGCTTTCTTCAAATCAAAAACTAAGATCGGTGTTCTCAGTTAAGGACAAGGCACAACATCAGTAGGCGCCTTTAATTTCAGAAACCCAACCCAGATGTATTACATCAATATGCATCCACCAAATACCCCAAACTACACACTTTCAAATTTACAAAAAATGATGACTAATCTTCGGTTCAGATGCCCAAAGTATTATCATGCAATGCAACTCTTCTCAGATTCCTAATTAGTTGAACTCAAATATTACTTAACTCTCTGATGCATTGTCTGGTCTTGCAGTGCACTCATTCCCATTACGAGAATGAAATGACGCCCCAGCTTGACTCGAGACCAAGACTCCTTACAACTTGCACCAATAGTAGCCTTATTAGGTCAGGGGCAGTTTCTCCCAGAAAATTTTCTAAGGTAAATAATACAATACTTATTGAGCTCTTTCTCTCCTTTTCAACAAGATATATGTTTACAGTCGATCTATCACGGGAAACAAGCTGAATTTCTAACGAGTTTCAAACATGATACGATACAACAGGATGTCAAAGACAATGCTTATTGAGCAGTATTGGCTTAACATTTGCACATTCACCAACTTATCAGCAACTCACTCACCCACCCACCCACCCACCCCCAAAAAAAAGTACGAAACAAAGAAAAAGAAAGAAGAAAAGAAAAGAAGAAAATTGAAAAGGCAAAACAAAGCCGGGGGAGAGGTAATAATTTAAGATTGGTATACGCTGAGACTGCTCCATTAAACAAAGGCAACCAAGCACCACCATTCATTCATGTGTCCCATCACCCCAACGTAAGAGCACAGGAAAACATCATCAGACAAGAAGGCTAGAAGAAGAGCTGAAAACTCAAAATGAAACAATATATGTTTGAGCCAACAGGAGTAACATTCAAGAGTGGTCCATAAATGCACTCAAAGGGCGTTTAAATTGATCCATTCACCACAAAGGAATCCCCATAAGCTCAGAGGGCCCTAATTGCCAAACCAGAAATTCTCTCCTTCAAACATGCACAAAACCACCATATCACAAATTCTTAATCTGTAATTCAGTTTGTCCTATCATGTAGCAGTTTGGAAGTAGAAATTCCAATAATGTTGGAAAAAATACATCAGAAGCACGTAACCAAGGAATAGAAAAGTACCAATCCAAACTGTCCCTCCGGAAACCAAAAAATATAGCTCGTTGAACAATGTAAATTTGTACCTGTAAAGCACCAAATAAATGATTTTTCACAACATTATCTAAGGCAACAGGAGAAACTCTTCAACCCCCAACACACACACACACACACACACACACACACACCCACCCACCCCCCCAAAAAAAACCCAAATAAAAAAAAAGGAAGGAAGGAAAGAATCCCAAATAGAAGCAACAAAAAAATGAAAGGTAAAGCCACTCCAAAGCATTAAGAAGTTATTAATGTAGTAGAAATACATGGGGAAACAAGAACTTCTTTCCCAGTCATACTTTACCAATTTTCTTCTCTTTTTTGTATTTTTTTTGGTTGGTGGGACAGGTGTGGGGTGGGTACATATACAGACCCCCTCCTGAGGCTAAAGTCAAACTCCTCAAAAAGTTGAAAGCAAAAGATAAAAGCCACTTCACAGCAACAAGAGGTTATTAAACTGGGGAAAATACAAGGAGAAACAA